CGTGCTTGTCGCCTAAGTTTTAAATTCAATGTGAATTTGTTCTTTTTAATTTGTTTAGTTTTATACGCTATTCTTAGAATAGGTCATTTAAAATAATAAAGTAATTTGAACTGAAGATGGCTCTAATTGAGATTAAAATGTTTTGAAAATAAAGAAAATTAAATATTTGGTTGCTTTAATAAGCAAAATTCGAAGATGTATTTAAATAAATATAAACTATTAAATATAAAATTTGACATCAGTTAATTGACTATATATTCTAGATCCTTCATAATGAAAACTAAAACATCCAGACTAAAATAAATAAGTCAACAAACTCCTTTATTTAATATAAATGTTCTCAAAGCAATATATTTCATCTTCAGATCAATAAATTATAGCAAAATTCTGAAATTATTACTATTGGAAGAAGTCATAAAAATCTTCTAAAACTAGTTCAAATAACTGCACTCTAAGCATTCAGTAAGAATTAATAGATTTCAAGATAATTTTAATTACTTTGAAAACATTTATAGTAAATAAATGAGTTTATCGACTTCTTTATCTAATTATAAATGTGATAGTTCTCTTGATAACGATTTATATGAGATATTTTTTTAACAATTAAAACTTTTAAGGAAAATATTTATCTTGTAATTATAACAGTTTATTTTATAAAAATAAAATTAGAAAAATTACTTTTATTAAAAAACATGCAATTTTACTGAAGAAAATTAATTTTTATTTTGCATCAGATGGAACTTTTTAAACATGAATTTAATAGTAATAAGATCACTACAATGTTAAACTAATTATAAATGAAATAAGAATTTTTTAATTATAATTAAACAATTTTTTAACATTTATCAGAAATATTTCAATTGAAACATCTGCATTGTAACAAATTTTACTTTAAACTGAATTTGTTTATAAATAAATATAAATTATAAATAAAAAACTAATTAATTAAGAAAGTTTTTTATATTAAAGCTTACATTATGTTGGATCCATTGAAATAAACAATTATACAAAAAAAACTCTTAAATCCATCATGCAAAATTTATTTAATTAATGTTTTTGGAATTTTTTTGTTTAAGTGTGAAATAAATTTATAAGTTTTTCTTTTGCATTAAAATTTATAAGATTATTTAAATTCTGTTCAAAGCATGGAAATAATTAAAGTTTATTTTTAGTTATATTTGAATTATTATATGTTACTGTAACCTAATAATGATCTTTAAAAAAGTTAAAAATATTTTTTCCTGCTGGATTTAATAAGCTTCTTGAATATCAATTTAAAATATTTATATATCAATAAAAGGTTCTTGAAATATAACTTTAGATTCAATTAATAATCAAATGATAACACAATTCATTATCAGTTTGGCTAATTAAATATATAGATATTATGTAACTTGGACTAAATGTATGCAATTAAGTTGCCATCTTGTACTAAATTTAATAATTAGAATTAAATTAATTAATTTAGAATATTCTGAAAGAAACAATATATGATTATTTAATTTTAATATTTTTCTCCCATTTAAATTTTTAATATTTACTTATAATAATGCATCAGTAAATGTTTTAAAATCTGTGAATAGTAAATTAACCCAAACATAAGATTTAATACTATTGGTATTATTATTATTTAATTTAAGTTAAAAAAATTACAAGAAATAAAATTATGTTTATACAGTATCTACTATAAAATTAGAGATTTATTGAAAAATTAGAAATGTTAAGAATTAATTAAAGGTACAGTAAAATCCCAATTATCTGAGCCTTCATTAACTGAGGTTCTGCATTATCCAAGGCAAATCTTTAAGTGAATATATTATTTTTCTTATACTGTAATTGGACTGCAATTTGAAAAAATGTAGATCTATAAATTACCATTGTCGTCCATCCAATTGTCTTGCCTTAATCTCAAGAATGGAGTTAGGTAGATGAAAGACAAGACCAGATATGGAAACCTTAGAGGCAGAAAGTGCTGATTAACTATGTAAGAACTTCTAGTGCAAACTGGAAGTCACATTATTTCAATTAGAAAATTTTCCCCTAAAAGGTGGACAGATGACCAGCATGACTATCATTAAAGGAAAAGTATGATGTACAGGGGCAAGCCACTACCAATTTGTGGTGGAGGGCATATATTTTAAATTAAATAAATTAAAAATATGATTAAAAATTGGAGCACAGAATTGTTACATCATCACAATAAATAATTGCTTGCTCATAAAAGAAAGTTTGAAAGGATAACGTGGTTCTTAGTAAAACAGAGGATGGCTTTTATAAACTTGATACTAAAACAGGTATTTTAAAACAATTGTATGCAAAATCTGAATTCAGTGTTTGCAAAGAGAGATTTTTAACGAAAGAAGATGGATGTCCCTGCTGTAGAAATATCTTTACGTCAAACAGCAATAAAACAATCCCTTGGTACTGGGCAGGGTTTCAGAAAATGTGACTGCAAATCTAAATGTACCACAAATAGGCGTGCTTGTCGCAAAAACCAATTGCTACGTAATTCAAAGTGTCACCAATCTTTAGATTGCACTAATAAGTAAGTACAATTTTATCATATGTTTTGCAAATTCATTTCCCTAATTGTAGTAATATTTTAAACCGTTTGATTTTTGTATTAAAGTTTTTTTAATTGATTGATGATTGATTCAATCAACTAATTTGTTGATTGTATTAACTTGATTCTTTAGATATTGAAAATTAAATAAATAACATTATGTTAATTTAAGCGTACAGAAAGAAACGTTGCTGTTGTTCCAGCAAAGATCTTATTTTCACTTTACCGAGTGTCTAGTAGGTAATTCGCAGATTACCTAGATAATCTGCAAATTACCTAGGTAATTTGAGAAATTGAATAATTTTCGCAGCTTTAACGGATTACATTAGTTAATCTGCAGATTAGCTAGGTAATGTACACATTAACGGATTTCGAGCTTTAGCAGTAACATATATACAAACAACACAAAACCCAATATACCAAAAGACTGCCATATTAGATTGGGTTACTTCTCTGCAATTATAAAATAATCATGAAGAAGTAGCCTGATC